TCAGGTGGTATTAGTGCCCATCTTGGGGTCCTGGGAGAAGGGACTTTCCCCCTCAGAACTCACCAGGGTGAGCCCCAGGATCCCCATCTTCCCTAGATCATTGGAGGGGAAAGGTCCATTTGTGGAGCCCTCCATTGGGTTGGTCTCAACCTCAGCCGTGGCACCCATGGTCTCAGGGGACAGGCCTTGGCCAGTGGAGTGAGGGGCCTTCTCCATGGGCTCCTGTTCAGGGCTATCCAGCAGCCCTGAAACCTCCTCTACAGGGATCACTCATTTGATCTTTCCCAGGGGTGGGGCAGGAGTCCTCCACAATCAGTGGGCTCCAGCTGTGTCTGGGCCTTCCTTTTGGCTTTGCGCCCAGAGGGGACCTGCACCCACTCAGCCATGGGGTGTTCCTCAGGTGGACAGGCTCCAGTAGGAGAAGATGAGGGTGGGGAGGGGCGCCTACCATAGGGGCATGACAGCCCTGCTCCCTCTTTCCCCTTGGCTGCTGCTGTCCTCTCCAGAACCCTGCCAAACTTGGTTTGGGGGCAGGGTTCCCTGAACTCAGAGGGGGGCTGGATGATGTGGCTGGGATGCCAGAGGGGCCTGAGGAGGGAGGGGTATCAGTGGCAGGGGGACCCCTCTCACCAGTGGGACCTGCAGATGCCCTTTCCTGCTGCCCATAGGGCACTTGTGATGCAAGTGCTCCGGGGCGTAGCATCAGAAGCATCACAGGTCCCCTAGTGTATAGAAAACCCTCACAGGGCACCCTGAAAAGGAATTGCAAGGCACCCTTCAGCCACGTTCCCACCACCAGCTGGATCATAAAGTGGTAACGGAAAGAGCACGCATGGCAGAGGCCAGGTTCTCGGCACCCTAGTGAGTGGGCCACCACTGGGGAGATAACTCTCCCCAGGGTTTGGAGCTGGGGAAGCACGGCCCAATTAGGGATATAGGGAGGGAGGTCCACCCTGGTCCCCAGCTCTTCTAGGGGACTGAGGGGGACATACTTATCCTCCACCACGAGCCCCCTCTCCACCACCTTTTGTGCAGCGGCCTCTGAGGCAAGGAAAAAGAACCTGGCCATGAAAGTGGGAGGCTGCTACAATCTTGGGGGCCCCCACTGCACCCAGGTCTCAAAGTGCAAGTTCTTTCAAGAGTAGTTGTCATTTCACTCTGTGCAGGGGTCCATGCCCCCCAGCTTTGGATTGCCCCACAGCTGCCTGTGCATAGCTGTGGTTTTCCCACCAGGGGATCATGTTGGTATGGCTGGGGCTAGGGCCAGGGCCAGGCTGAGTGGGTGTGCTGGCTGGTGTAGTGTACCTGGTCCCCTCAGGTGCTGCTGGTCTAGGCTTGGGGGCAGGGCCCTTGCCCTTCCCACCCCCAGCTATGGAGGAGGCTGAAGAGGAGCCCTTCCCACCACCCTTGCCCTTGGCCCCCGATGACAGGAGAGGGGGCTTGGGAACCCCTCCGGGGGGGGGGGGCTGGCCAGGGGCGACCCCCCTGGCCCTGTTGGCTCCCTGCTGGAGTCCCGCCTGCCCCTGCAGTGGAGGTTGCAGGCTTCTCTACCTCCAGGAGGAAGTTGGTCAGACTCTGCTTCTGAGGTAGGGGCTGCAGGGGTATGCATCCCCTTGGGGGCTTGGCTAGGATCTGCCCCCCATAGTGGGGGCTGGAGGAAGTTTTGTGGGGGCATCTGCCCCCCTCAGCAGTTTCCTGGCCTTTCACATGAGGGTGGGGAAGACAATAAAGAAAACCAGAGTATTCAGTGTGGCTGGTGAAGCTAATAGGGGCAGGGAGGAAGGGGGCTGAAGCTCACTGAGCTACAGCCCCAAAGGAAAAAAAAAAAAACTGGGAGGGCTATACTTGGGCAATGTCAGGGAGGACACACACACATGCTGGGGAAACTTGAGCTGGCTTACTCGGCCACACAACAAATACCAGGGCAGGGGGAGTGGACCACAGGACTTACCACACAAGGTCAAAAAACACAAAGGGAAGGCTGCTGAGGCAGATGTAAGAAATAGCTGGAGAAATGGAGGGGCTTTGTTTGTTGAACATTAGTCCAGGAGGCCCTCAGGCCTCCAGCCAGGCTCTCGGCACCAGAGCAATAGGCAGGAAAAACAAAGCAGGATCAGATGCAGTGAGGCAGCTATGGAGAAGGGCAGGAGCATGCAGTCAATTAGGGCATAGTCCAGTGCAGGTGTGGTGTCAGATGGTGCAAGGTGGTACAGCAAGGAATCTCCTTCTCTCCTGAGAGTGGGAAGCAGCAGAACAGCAACAGCAGTAGTGGTAGCAGCTGTCCAGTTCAGCCACTCAGGGTATACTTCAGGTGAAAGTGGAGGTGAAGGTGAAGGTGGGGGCTGGCCTGCCAAGGCAGCTGAGGCAGGCAAGGCACATTTAGGTTCCAGCAGTGATGGTGGGGGAGGGACCTACAGGCAGTGCAGGATCCCTCCCCAGACCGTCCCCCAACTGCAGCTTGGTGGCAGGTTGGGCAGCAGGCCAGAACAGGGGTGCAGAAGCTAGAGTACAGTGCTGGGATGCAGCACAGTGCAGCAGAGGGGGTTCCTCCCCAAGGGGGACAGCAGCATGCAGCAGAGGAGCCCCTCCTGTGGGTGGCAGCAACAGAAGCAGCAGTCCAAGGCAGGAAGGGGTGAAGCCAACTTACCCACAAAAGCTCTGAGACCAAGCCAGCAACTAGCAGTAGCCAGGGGTAGGAAGGGGCCTGGCCATCTTCTCCCCAGAAACTCCTGAGACCAAGCTTGCAGCAACAGCAACAGCCAGGGACAGGAAGGGGAGTGGCCAACTCCTTCCAGAGGCTCCTCCCCCAGAAGCTCCTGAGAGTAAATAGCCCTACGCTGCTTACCAGGGCAGTTTTTTATACTGCTGGGGCCAGCACAGGTGCTAGCCCTGGGGTCTAGCTGCTGGCTGCAGATCTGGGAGGAGGCAGGCAGGGTTATTTTGCCCCAAGTGGCACAATTTGCCCCACACCAAAGTGCATGTCTGGGCACATGCACTGAGGCAAAAAGCCCCAGCTCAAATTTGCACCACTTCTATTTGAGCTGCTGCAAATGCATGTGCTTGCATGTGTGGATGTGCCCAAAGAGTTTATAATTTAGTTAAGACAAGATGCAAGTGACTATAACAGCCAATCAGGAGAGAAGGTTAGGGAAGAAATACTAAGAATATGCCTTTAGGAAGATCAGGTCTGAGCACAGCTAAATGTCTTTTCAATTGGTTCATACGCAAAATAAATGGAGTATGTCAGACATCCCTACTGACCATTATCAATTGGAAGTTTCCCTTAGACATCATGGTGGGGTGGAAAGGTTTGAAGGAGGGCAGAGTTTATGCTTTGCATCCAGTGTGGAGAGGCTATTTCACAATCAAGAGGAAACTAAAAATTCATATTTGCTTTCCAAGTCTGAAAAAGTTTAAGAAACTAGATAAAATCCCCCAGCTGACTTGTTTAGCCTGGCAGCATCTGTGGCAGACAACCTCTCTCTTATATTGGGCTAGTCAATTGGTACATTAGGTAGTGATGCCTTTAAAAAGGTGCTTTCTGAGGAAAACCAGAACATCTCTAGGTATGATGGAGTGTAAAAATATAAAGATGCAGATTTCTGTCTTTGGGTATCTTGGTGTGATAAGGGACTGATAGTTTTTCTAGGCAAGATATGCCCATTTGATTGCTACTTAGACTTGGTGATGAGGGTTGTGTTATTAGTCAGAAAAGATTCTTTAGGTAAATAGTTGGAAAAATTCTCTTTTGAAAGCTTTCGGGTACAAACACCCTTCTTTGGGCAGAGGAAAAATGATCAATTTTCCAACTATTTTTTTGGTCTAATAAAAGATATCAGATTTACCCAAAGAACCTTGTCTGACTATATCCTTAGACCAACACAGCTACAACCACCACCTCTGAAACATGGTAGTTATTATTCAACATTTGTACAGGGTAGAGAGCCAAGGTATGAAAAAAACCCCATCCTTTATCAATAACAGCTTCAGTCAGTGGCAAGCCTCCTACATTTCCTGTTATTGTCAATGTCAATTTTATTAAAGACTTGCTGATACCTCAGGAAAGCAATTTTAAAACATCCTGTTTAGAAGCTACTTTGCTTAAGTGTTATATACAGCATTTCCTGTTTGGTTGGTTGTTCCCACCACTTCTATTACTAGGGATATTTGTAGATAAACGTTATCCTTATTTCTTAGGGGTTCCACTGTTTGTACTATTTGTTCCTTGCCCCTAAGGCATAATTATGATTACAGTGGCAGATTACTGCATCAGAAATAGTGGGCTGTTAATGGAAGTGTGCCCAAGCTACCATCCCTTGCAATGTTGAATTTCTGAGAATGGAAAGCATTTTCAAGTAAAACTGCAAAACAACATGTGGAATTTTGCGCAGATTTTTAGTCTTTATATATAGTCTTTCATCTCAGAATCTCAATGGGTTGAGAGCTTGATTAATTCAGCTTTCAAATAGCACTCTAAGAAAAGTCAAATGTTAGACCCTCTTTACAGATTAGGAAAGGGAAGCCCCAAACATAAAGTGGTATTATCCAAACCAAACACTGTACATCTGTATCAAAGTTATGAGCAGAATGGAGACCAGGCTCAGTTAGCTGTCTTGACTACTTGACATCACTCCTTTGTCTTTAACTTCATGTAACTGCCATGGTAAACATACTGAAGCTCTCGCATCCCTCTTATTAACAACCTAAGTGGAAGCACAAGTCCTAAAATCGATGCTAATTGTTGAACAATTTAAGCTGGAGAACGGCTATTTATATATTGGACTTTGTTTATTTAACTGGATGGAACATTTGATAACTGCCTTCCACCACAAAAACATTTTTAGATTAAAATTACTCCCCCTAGTTAGCTGTGGGCACTTCCAGCTCTGACAAATTGTTTGCTATTGTTCAGGTAGTAAGTGCTGATTGGCTATTTAGCATTATAACAAACTTTAAATTTCAGTGAAGTGCACAAAGCCTACAAAATCTGCTGGTGAGATCTTGCATTCTGAAGATAAAAGGTAATTCCCTTGTCCCACCTCCTTGTTGCCTTTTAACATTTAATATTTTTCCCTAGTGGAATAACTCTTCTCTGTCTCATTCTGTAAATGCACAAATCTATTGATTAGCAGACTTAAGGTGATAAGTAAAAGCTGAATTTAAACTAACCTGTGTATAGTTTTGTGCTTAATGCATGCCAAACAGAACATAATCTATAGAAAACCCTGGAGCAAGAGTTAGAGTATGAATTCCTTCATGTGTTTTATATAAACGTAGTAACATAATCAAAATTAAGGGTGAGCCCTTCAGAAGTCTTTATAATCAAGCAATGACCAAGCAAGACAAAGAGACTATCTTAACAATTATTAATGAACATAAATGATTTGTCTTTCTGTTTGCACTTTCATATACACTTAATGTTTGGCTGTTATTATTATTGATCTAACAACACTCAACATAGTATCAATGAAACCCTTTTAAAGTAGATTAATTTAGAGATTTGGAGTGATAATGAAGCACATGTGAAATTAATTGCTTCAGTTATGATAATGGTTCTCTCCCTACAAAAATATCACTGTGCTGATTTCTTATGATCATCCCTCAGTACCTCTCTGATAAAAATGATCTTTTGCAAGGAATGTAACAATACCCCAGATAACACAGACACAAAACTTACTTTGCTGTATAATATTAAACGGACATATATACTTATTTCACATAAAATATACCCATATTATATTTTATACTTAAATAATAATTTTTGCTATTATAGGCTCCACTATGAGAGATGGGACTTCCATGGGCTTTGCACCAAAGGTCAGAGCACACAAAGAATGACTAGGTAAATTGTCTGCCATTGAACAGTTCCAAAATTGAACAGCTTTGGGTGACTACTGACCTGGATTACACACAGAGGGGAAAGACTTCATGTCCCCATTGCTAGTTTTAAGGCATCCACTCCTGACCCAGTAAATGGCCTACTTCTGTGGAAGTAATTATAAATCACCTACAGAAGCTACTTATAGTGTTGATGATTCACTGCACATTTTGGAAGAATTAAATTGGATGAAGCCAGTTAGGAGAAAAATCAGTGAGTTGACTTCCCTCAGCCCATCCCAGCCCCCAAAAATTACATGGGCAATATTCTGAGGTTTTAATAAGGAACATTTCTACTGTTATGGAATATAGCTATTTATATTTAAGACAAAAACATGTTTCAGTAATGTATTGTACTTGGTCTCTAGGAATCCCTGAAGATGAAACGTGTCCTTTTATGCTTGTGTCTCTTTAGCGTGGTCTGCACTAAACCAGTAAGTATTCCTGTTGTTGGCTTTTCGTTGTGTATTTATCACTGCAGGAGTTGTAACCCATCATAGCATGGTAACAAGGGATCTGTACCACAGGAAAGGTTGATGTTTCTGTATCCTGCTACTAAATTAAATTTATATATTTATAGGACCTGAAGGGATATATCTGTGCTGGGAGCTGCTTTCTAAATTCCATCTCTCCACTTTATAGGGCAAATACCCTACACTTGAATGAGTAAACTTGTCATGTCTTAGGGTAGTTAGATACCTTTTCTATAAAAAAAAAAAAAATCTTACAGCAGCTCTCTGTTCATGCTCAATGCTATAACTTTTTAAAGGCTGCGGAATGTTAATGAATGAGCAAATGAAATATAAATGTATATAAATAATAATTTGTAATTTAGACATCTTCTATCTAGTCACATTAATGTAATTGCTGTAGCCATTAGGAATTGCTACAAAGCCCATTCAGGTCAAAGGAATGTCTTCATGGACTTCCATGGGGTTTGGATCAGGTCCAAATTGCACTTAATATAGGCACTGAGTAGCCTTAGCCAAAATTAACCTGCTGCGGAAGTATGTCTAAATGTAATAGATAGGTATAGCTTCTAAATTTTATTGTGGTTAAATTATGTTATGACTAGAGCGATGTAGTTAGCTGTGTTTGTCTGAAGTAGAAGGCAAGGTAGATTTGCACTACCCTACCTTCTAAATTATATTATGGACATAAACGTTTCCTTATCTATCATGCTTATGTATTAGCAGTGTTTTGCTACGAGCTGTCCCTAGAAGTATATCTGGATACAATAGCAACAACCAACATATGAATTATGTGGGTGGATTCAAATTCTCCCCTTAGTTATATACTTGCAGCTCCCAGTGGGAATGAGCAGAAGACCTCACCCCTTACACTGAAATTTGGATGATAATGTGTATGATTCTAAACAGAATCATTTAGAAATATTGGGACAGTGTTCTCAGAAATTTCCAATTTCCCCCAAAATGGACCTATTCTATGTGTTTCATTTGAAAGGGCTGGAAGCAGAGTTCCCACAGAGTCCCAAGGACATAGTGAAGGAAAAGGAAAGTGGTTAGGCACACCATTTTAGCACCTACAGTAATTTCACAAGATCTAAATGACTTTCCTACTGTCCTAGGTAATCTATTTTCTACCTCTTGTTAAACAGCAGCGCCTGAGGATTGATATTCAAAGGAACTATTTGGTTGCTAGAGAGGAATAAAGGGCAAGGAATAAGACTTGCAGAACATGGATCATTTTTAGTGCACATGACTGTCTAGGACATGTATGGCCCCATCCCTGACTCCTCCTAATAGAGCACATAGGCACCCCAAGACCAGGGGGTTTCTGACAAGATCCCAGCTAAGCTTGGATTCAAAGCACGAAGAAGTTATTGGAGTCTTTCCATTGGGCATTGGATCATGTTGTTAATGTAGTTCTGCTCCTGAATTTGTGAGGCCTCTGGAATAGACAACTCGAGGCAATATGAAGCCATTTCTAATGTTTTGCGATAATTTAGAGTAGTCAAATATTTGGTTTGGAGTAGTCAAACTTGCATTGTTTGCATGTATTGCTTTTTCTTAGTGGTTATATGCAGTATATAACAAGACAAGCAGAGTCTGTGCTTTTAAATAGAGGGGACAGGTAGTTAGAAAAGGCCTTGTGAGTATTGGGGGTGCTGCTGTACTGGGAGGGTAGCAGGGAGCCTGGGGGCTGGGAGGATGTGGCTTGCAGGATGCTTCTAACACAGGTTAGAATCCCAGACCTAAAGCTCACCTTCCCAAACCACAGCTTGTCACTAAGGTGCAATACAATGGGCAAGTGATATCAAACTTGCAGGTGTACAGTCCCTCTACCAAGATGGTAATCAAGACTGTCACTGCTGCTGCAGCCACACTCTGCTGATCCATGGTTTGGGAAAGTGTGAGGAAGCACAGTTACCTTGATAGTGGGGAAGGGATGATCTGGTTCAGTGTACTGTTGCCTTTACGAGGCAAAGTTAGTTCAAGTGAAGAGAAACTGCTGTTTCCACACAGTGTTACAGTAAATTATCGAAGTATGCATGTTCTGTTCTACTGCATACATTTTATATATATGTGTGTGTGTGTGTGTGTGTGTGTATACACACATATATATAGTATGTACTGTAATAAACAGTGGCCTGTAGGCACAGTCTGCAGACCATACATTACATTATGTTTTATGCACCAGCTCCTGCTCTTGTACTGCCAAAAATAGAGCTTGCTTGTACAAGTTGTGTTATCTGCACAACAGGTACAGCCTTATGTCCCATTCTGTTCACCACTGGCTGCCCCAGGAGCTGAATTAATTCATTTTAAACAAATTGTCCACTGAACCCTGGAATTAATGACTTTCAATTCTGTACTAAGGAGACTTTCCTGTAGCTATAACCACCCATTGTAAATCAAGATCCCTTTGTCCTGCTTATGCCCCATGACATGCTCAGGGCACAAGATTGGTATGGGTAAACTGTGAAATAACCTGAACAGGATCTGGATGTGTGTTTGTAGAACTGGGGTGCCCTCTAGTGCACTGGGTGTGATGCAGAAACACTTCTCACTGGGTAGGCCACTACAGTATTATCTACTCTATTAAAGGCTGGCCACTGTACTGTTTCCCTACCCTTATATTTGTTAGGGACATGATTGGCTAAAAATGCAGGCTGTAATGGAAACTGTTAATATCCAGTTAAACCAGCTATGCCCATACACACCCTGTACTAGCTGCCTAGCTTAGCATACAGTTGTATTCCTGCAACCCATTTAGGTACATGGGTATTTATTTGACTGTGGAGACAGACTTGCTTAACTGTGGCACTGTAATGAGTTATGCTAATTCTTCCTCTTCCCAGAACCCTAGACAGGCCCAAGCACAATTTCCAGGTGAGGAAACCATTGCTTCCATATGAAGGAGCTTACGGTAGTGCTGTCCCTTCTGCAACAGCTATCAGAAGCTTACTGTTCAAGGTTCAGTCATGCAGCAAGGCTCTACCACGATTTCTGCAATGGTGCTGAACATGGATTGATTCTGTCTACCAATCAGTTCTGTTGGTTGCTGATCCTCATTGCAACACATGACATGTAATGGGAATATGAGAGCAAACAAGAGGGAGCATGTATCAGGGACTATTTATGCATTTTGCAAGAAAGAGTTCATGAATAAAATGCATAACTATGGTAGTGTTGGGAGCAGAAAGCAGGACTCTCCCTCCTAAGGGAAGTGGCCTAATCACTTGGCTATGGGGTCATGCTCCCCCTTGCTGGCTCTCTGTTTGGTCCCATATCCTTACAGTCCTTTCTACATTTGTATCACAGCTTCAACAGGAGCTATGGGGACTGCCCTTTGGTGTGCCTTGTCTCTAGCTCAGTGTAGAGATCGCTCTTTGGAGGTGGCAAGTGTGACTTTGAGCTCCAACCCCTTCAGACTGAGAAAGGCCCCTCATGCACCTAGGCCTCACTGTCTTGAAACAGCTGAAGCCATACTAGCAATGCTAGTTTGCCATCATTTTCATTATCTGTGTACTGCAATAAGTAGATTGTATTCCAGAGAGTGACAGTTGCTATAGAAACATTATTGATGTCCACAATGCAGTGTGCAGGAAGACTACGTCTTCCTGCTCTTTCCCATGCATGCTGGAATACTTTAAGACTCTGGCATCATGGATTTTACCTGGCAGCCCAGTGTTGGCATTCATGAAGTAATCTGTGTGATGCACCAGAGTACTATGACTATACCTCTAGTTCTAGTCACCTCTGGCCTGATTAGGGGAGTAAAGCATTGGAAAGAGAGTTACGTGAAGGAACCCTGCACAATTTGGGAAGCTCCAAAAATGTTCAAATGCCTGTTTCCTTTGCCCCTACCTTTTGCCCTATTTCTACAATATGTAGCATACGGGAGCCTCGGATAGGGCTTCTAGGAGCTAATGCAAGACAAATAAATAATTATAAGCAGCAGCCTGGAGGTCTTTCTTTATAGCAGCGTGCACTTCCAGTACAATCTGTCCTTTACAAAAGGGCTCAGAAGGAAACTCCTGGCCAGTCTCCACAATGTTGTTGCAGTCTGACTCAGAAGGGCAATCACTTGCGTTTGCATGTTTCCTCTGTCAAGCTTCGTTTAGCCATGAAGTGCTTGTGCCCACTGGCTACTGTCCTGACTCTCTCAGGGTAGACCCTTAAAATTAAGGGGAAGCAGGAAGCTTTGGGTCCATGCAAAAAAACACAGCTCTGATGGCACAAAAGTTGCTGCATAGACACAAACCAAATGTTGTTCCTTATAAATGTAAAAATGATTAATGCGACTAACCAGGAATAAAATCATGGCCCCTTAAAAAAAAAAAAAAAAGCAAAACAAAACAAACCCCCCCCCCTTAAAATACGTGCAAAATTCTTTCTAAACAAGGTAATAAGTTGTCATGTCCCCCGGTCCAATATTACCAGCAAAAATGGGATTTTGGTCTTAACAGAGTCTGTAGCCTTCAGTAGACTTGTGGAATCCTTCACTTATCACATCATAGTGGTATAATGTGGAAATTAAGACTGGTCACAAAGTGAAGAAGGTGTACTGGTTGAATCATAATATTTAATATCATAAAATATAAGATTAAATATGATAAAATATGCCTCTTTTAGTATGATAAAATACACCAGTCTAAATGCAGCAAGCTACTTTTTCCCTAGTGCATCTGCAGAAAACCTAGTATCTGTATTATAGCATACAAACAAGCATTAACAGGTAGATTAATTATAACTTTGCTTTTTTTGTTCTTTCTTCCCCCCCCCCAGGTATTTCAGCCGTACCCTGGGAAAGCTAATGAGAACTGTGTGGGACAACACAGGGTAAATTTGATTACTTTTCTAGTGGAAACACAATCTCCCTAAAGTTTTATCAATTTAGGTATATTAGACAAGAATTAATTTACTAAAATTATATTCCTGTAGAATTTAACATAAGAGAGCTTTAGGAAAGAATGCTGTAGTTTCACATTGAGGTACAGGGCAAGTTTTCCCTGAAGATTTTTCCACAGTCCCATATATAGCCATGGAAGCATTTCTTTACCTTTAAAGTGTTTGTTTTGATAGAGTAATTTTGTTGGCAGTTTTAAAATTATTTATGTTTACACAGTGCAGAGTTCATTGTGGGCACTACTAGAAGCAAAGAATATTATTAAAACAAAAGAAAAAAATCTTGTTTTCTTTCAAAAGCACAATATTGTTTGGTTTTAAAATCCTCTATCTTTTTCCTATTACTTCAATCATTTTAACAAATTAAATGAGATCGTTCACTATTTATTTATTACATTTATATGCTGTTCTTCTTATCAAAGGCTCAGGGCAGTTTACAGAAGCAAAGAAAATAAATTATAAAATAAGAGAACAAGAGAGCAAAACAGAGAAACAACTTATACAAGCCAACACAGTATTAAAATACACTGTTCAGCAGAATCCCCTACCAGTCACCAAACTTTTATTTTACCCAGTGGAGAAAAAAAAATCCAAATTCTGAATGTAAGCAAAGATGAGATGAAAGTAAAAATCAGATGCCCAACTAAATATTGTCTCTTTCAGGTGAATAATAATATACAGTCAAAATTTGCCCTCTGGTGTTCATATAAAGTTATTATGAGTTTCACTCAAAATGATAGGAAAAGAATTGTTTGAAATAAATGAAAGATATTGAATTGTAATTAAACAGATTGTGTCCTCAGTAATAATTAAGATGCTAACATTATGTTTTTTGCCTTAGATACTGGTGAAGACCTGTAATATCAATAATGGGTTTTATTTATTTAAGTATGTGTATACATCCTCAGCACGAAAAAATCAAACACAGATAATGGTAAGAAGAATCTTTATATTCATATTTCTTTCTTGTGAGTGATAGGATAAGCAAATTGTCCCTGAAGGAATAATCATTTTTATTTTGTCCTTAGAGTCTAGGGGTTAAGTGTTGCTGGCAGAGACAACCTTAAAAATACAAAGTTATTTCTAAACAGGGAATAGAGTATATCATGTCTCCTGGTCAAATATTACAAGCAAAAATGGGATCTTAGTCCAGATACAGAGTCTGTAGCCCTTAGAAGAGTTATGGATTTCTTTAGTTATCCTATCACAAAGGAAATTAAGACTAGTCACAAAGAATGGAAAGTGTACCAGACCCGCTTATTTTAAATGGACTAGTTTAGTGCCAGAAAGCAAGAACTATCATATGACATTGCTCCTTTTATTCCAGGGGTTCTCAACTAGGGGTACGCATACCCCTGGGGGTACTTAGACTAGTCCTAGGTGGTACGCGTGGGCAGGCAGGGACTGAGTGCCACCACCTCCCAGGAGCAGGGCCAGGGCCAGGGACAGGTGAGTGCAGTGGAGCCCCTATCCGGGGCAGGGAAGTTTGCATGCGGTGGTGGTGCCCGCCACACACCAACCCAGTGAGCTTCCCTGCCCCACAGAGGGACACTGCTACCCTTACCCCAGCCTGGTGAGCTTCTACGTCCCACCCCGCCCTGGCCCAGTCCTGCTTCTGGAAGGCAGCAGCACTCTGTCCCCTCCTGCCCGTGCGCTGTCTCCGCCTCCTTTCTCCTTTGTGTCCAGCCACACATTACTGCCCCCCACCCCCCACC